CAACAAAATAAAACAAATTCAAATAGAATAAAGTATCGGAAAGTTGCATTAATTTCCACATTAGCAACAAAATTTCTTCAATGGAAAAAAGTTGGTCTTATTAAAATACCCCCAAAATTTCAACCGTGGCTGATTTTTATAGCATGGGGGATTATTTCTTTGACAACTTTATCTCTGTTCTTGGTGCATAGGAAACGGATCATCTCTTCATTGGATTACCTCGCATATTCGGTGAGATCTATGGGATTTAGGTAAATTGAAAACATCCAATTTAAGCGATCAGATTCTCTAATCCTCGACTAATAAGATCTCCTTAATTTAGCGGGGTGTTAATAATATTTGGCCTAATATTTGTGACCACCTTTCCACTAGTAATTGGTTATAGTACGCTGATAACTCTGTCAGGATTCACATATGGTTTCACCGTGGGATTCATTATATCATACGTGGCTGCATTGACTGGGGCTGTGACTGTGTTTGTATTGAGTAGACGATGGTTCAAGAGATCAGTTAGGAAACTATTAAAAAAAAATAGATCAATGAACGCGATAATAAAAGCTGTCGATAAAAAAAGTTTTAAGGTAATTATAAATAAATATATTAATTTTACTAAATTAGTGCTTGGTTAGTTTAATTATATTTCCTTTTTTATTTGCAAAATCTTACAGCTTTTATTTCTCATACGCCTTGCTCCTTACCCGTATAATATGTTAAATACTCTACTATCAGCAACACATATATCATTGTCCTCATTCACTAGTGCTACGGCGTTATCACTTTTTAAGCTTATGATTCATGTCTGGGTAGGCAGTAATATTTCATCATTCTCAAATCGCATGGGAACGGGCGCCGGAACATCGCCAAAATTTGAAAATGATCCCTTGGGTCCATATCACAATTTATTGATGATGTGTGGATTTATAATTGGTATCGGTGTAATTATTTACATATGGATGATAGCGAGAAAAACTATAAAAGATATCGAAGAAAATGAAGAGAGGGACGAACATTATGTCCTTGAAGATGGATTAAGCAATTGCAATGAAAATGTGCAGGAAGCAGCTACAAAAGGAATCAGATACCGATATTCAATATTTGATGAATCGGATGAACTTGATGCATGCGATGACTATAATGGTGATGGAGATAAATGTGAGACTGAGGACGTAAAGCAGGCAATGTCATTAAATAAAAAGCAACCAAATCAAAATGTTAATGACGAGGAGGCGTTTACCATCTATCAAACAATTTAGTTATTTTTGCACAATTAATAGAGTTTGCATCATAATTTTTCATCATTTAATTCAATTATATAGAGATCAGCAATACAAATGCACGGGAAAATCTTATTTAAATAATTCTTACTATAACTTAACGTTGCTTTAGCTAGATATCACTTGTTAAATATAATGGTATATGTGTTTCATATTTCCTCGAAAAGAATTTTTTTTTACGCCTTGTTTCAATTGGCAACTTACGATTGACTTAAATAAAGACATAACATCATCTTTTATTTAACCTATCTCGAAATTATATTTATACTTCTTATTAAACTTTTTCTAAGCAAGTTTTAATCAAGTTCACTTATTGAATTTTAAGCGATAACTAATATTTGACTGTAAATTAGGACCTACATGTAAAACTCAAGTTCTAGCATATGATCTTAAACCTACTCTAATAAATTTCAATATTTCAAACCGGATTCTTTAATACTAAAAAAAGAAGACAAAATAGGAAGAAAACAAACCAAATTATATTTAATCTATTCTGATATTGTTTTTTTTTTTATTAAATGCATGGTATTTTATTCAACTTATAGGAATAACAAGTAACATTAAACATCTTATATATAGCTAGTATACAGATTAATGTTTCCTATAATGCTTATCCATGATAGATCCAGAGCCACCCATTGAGTGGATACTGATGTTGTTGAGTTAATTTCTACCATAACTATTTTTTTTTTTTTTATACCCTCTGTCAGGCTAGGTATGTGTGCTTTATTAAACATAT